AAAAACATACAACACCGAGGATTCCCCAGTGGTCACCCACCTGAGTACTAGTTCGGCCCTTACATGTTTTGGTTTGTAGAAGTTTTGGGTGAAAATGGGATCCCAGGGCCTCCAGAAACGGAGGGTTTCGCCTCCAAAAACGGATGCCTCTGCTCCCCTTTGCTTTTAGCCAAGCGTTCCCCTACCGTCCAACGGCCGTCTGCTGCGCCCCACCCTACACACCCATATGCATTATTGAAATGAGAAATGCACATCTCCTGGTGCTTCTGCTCCTTTGGTTGGCAATGGCGGCTTGCAAGCCTCGGCCCGCACGATTGCATTTCGCAGCGGGACTGGGGAGTGGACAAAGCTTTCAACGGTGAGCCAGCGCTTTGCGGAGCAGGGACGGTTGCTGCGCCTTGGAGCCTGGCTGGTCGACGTCGAAATACCCCGTTGCTCTAACGGTGTCCATGTCGGGCTCCGCGAGGACCCAGCGGAGGATATGCTTCCATTCGTCGTTGCCCGCGTGGATGTCGTCGATGTTGTCAAAGTTGAGGACGCGGGATTTGCGCACTTTAATAAGGCGCTTTTGCGTGTCGACGTAGGCGTGAAGGATGCGTACGTCGTTTCGGGCCACGGAGATGACGGTCACCTTTTAAACGCGCACGTTAGCAATCGCTTTCTTGGACTGCGGGAAGGGGAAGACAGGAACGCAAAGGAGAAGGAGAAAAATAAGCGGAAAAGGGAGATGAAAACTAACTGGCACGGCTCGAAAAGAGACGCAGCAGGGCGGCATGCGGCGTACTTGCGTCATTATTATAATTGCATCAATCTCGCCGCGGAGCAGGCCTTGCTCTGGCAGCTGCTGCACGGAATGCGCGCAGGTGCCGACGATATGTGGCGTTTCGGTAAAACCGCGCGGGGAGGTGGCAGTCCGGCGCGTGGCGCCGTAATCAAATCGATACGTGGCCATGTAGTAACAGCCTTTAAGTATCTCTTCCTCGGTCGGACCAAACCACGGATGACGGATCTTGGTGGTCCTCCATTTCGTTTTTCCGAACAGGCCGCGCTTGTCAAAGCCGGGACCGTCAGGGCGGAGGTCGCCCTTATCGCAGCTGAGCCATCTATCGAGATGGGCGATCAAAGACTCTGCGAAGTCGATGGGCCTGTCACCCTGGTCTCTTTGGCACATTTGTCCGAATACCGACGAGGCACACGGCTGCACTTCCTGCAGCCAGCTGTCCATGGTCGCGGGCGGGATGGGCCGCACAAAGAGGAAATCGCCGTTGTTGTCGTCGGCGGCAGGCGGCCTGGGCTGGGACTCGTCGAGGTCGAGCGTCTCGCACAAAACGTGAACAGGCGCGGGTGGGCGGCCGGGCTTGGAGCGAGTGAACGTGGTCAGCTGTCCCTCTGGCAAGGGGATCGCGTAGTCCATGGCCCTGGCAGCGCGGACAAAGTCGCCGCACAGGTTGTTGGTGGCTGCGGCGCGGGCGTAGGCACGCGCGTCAGATGGCGACGGCGACGGCGACGGCGTGCCGGATGCCATGGCTCTACTGCCCGTCTGGGAGAGGTGCTTTGTGTCTTGCAAGGTGCAGCGGCGGCGAGCAAGCGTGCGTCCTCTTCTTGTATGGCAAAGCTGCAGTCGCGCGCGCACGTGTCGTGTATGTTTTGATGGATGACGCCTGTTGGTCAGTGAGCGAGCGAGATTGCAGTGGCGGGCGTTTGGCCAAAGTTGGGCGATGTGTGACGCAAGGTGAGGAGCAGGGCTTCAATCCGCCCCAGGTCGGCTGGTCTGGGGGTGGGCTGCAGAGGTCGTGATGGGGCGCGATCGCGCGGCACTGCATCCGATTCGGTTGGCCCCAATGAACCTCCTGGTGGAGCGGCCAGCATGCCCCCAGCTGCAGCCGCCGCCCTGCTCCCATCCTGCCTTGGCACGCACGCCAAAAAATAATTATCACATTTCTTTTCCTGTGTCCTTTCCTTTTCCTATGTCCTTTTCCCTTTTCCTCTCTCTTTTTCTTTTTCCTATATCCTTTTCCTATATCTTTCACTTATGTCGCTTTCCTATGTCGCTTTCCTGTGTCGCTTTTTTACGCCGTATTTTACCCCGTGCTTATTTTCCAAACCCCCACCCTGGACAGTCTCAACTATTTTTTTGCCGGACGTGCTCGCTTATCGCTGCAGGCTGCGGCTTTGCACACCAGCCTAAACGATAGGTTTAAACTGGCCAGTTGCCACGCGCCGCGTGGTTTCAACGGCGCCTCGTTGGCCTATCCCCCGCCAAAATGGGCATGCTGCTGGCGCTGCCCTTCGGGGTTGCTTAAGCGACGGACCCTTTATTCCCTTGGCCCTCCCCACCTCCCCCTCCTTTTTGGATTCTTCCTTTTTATCCTTCGCTTTGCCATCTTTTCTTTCGATCCATTTTCCCTCCTTAGCTGCTTTCATGGCTTTCCCAGCGGACCCGGCGCAATGGCAAGAAGAAATTGCCGCCTCCGACCTCGGAGGGCAGTCGATCCACGATGGCGAGTTTACCGCGTCCGCGTCCAAAGCCACCTGGGACCAGTTCCTGCTGCTGCGTGCCCTTTACATTAATGATAAGCCGAAATCGGCTTCTCTGCTCGACGAGGGTCCGCTTTTGGACGATAGCGGCTATATCCAAGACGCAAAAACGGCCCTCCAGGACAAGGACACCAGCAACGCCACCGGGTGGGGGGCTTATTTGTTCAACCTTGGCCATCTCCGCCAAACCGCCGCGACCGACCGACCGTTTCCCTGCCTGAAATCGTTTTCTCTCCCTAGGTATTTCCAACTTCTCGCCGCCAACCCCCAGGGCTTGAACGGCGACGACGACGACGACGATAACGACGGCGTGATGGCGTATTATGCACCGCCCACTCGCTCCGATGCTTGCGGCGGGTCCGACACTGGCAACATGTCGGCCATAGTTAACAGAAGCTTTCCCGAAACGCCCACGAGAACCCGCGACGCCATGGATGTTGATGTTGCCGGGGATGCACCGGCATCATCGCCCGACAGCGGCAGCAGCGTGGCATCGCCACCCCGCAACCGCATTCTTTTCGCCCCAGTCAGCCCTGTGCCTGTCACGGCGGAGGAGGCCAAGCAGCTCAAAGCGGGATTAGACGAGCAGATCGTTAACAGCGCCCTCGTCATGTTCCTCATCGCCATTACCATCCACCACAAGGGGGTTAAAGGCGCGTGGTCGCCCCACCGCCATCCTTTTACCATTTACACTGGCCAACCCTCGCGCGAAAACAAGATTTTCACAGCCGTCGTCGATGGTTACTTCGCAACCTTTCCCGGCCCTGGGCGAATGCCTGAAATAACGGCTATTGCTGAAGTTAAACCTCACCACAGGGAGGCTGAGATAAACGGCATCCGCATGCAAGAGGCCTGTCAACTGGCTGCGTGGATTAGGGGAAAGCGGACGGGATCCCGTATATTCCAGTGGGTATGGTCGTATGT